GGGATGATCCCAGCAGGGGCAGGAGAGAACTGCGGGAAGGATTCCCGGCCTCGCTGAGTCGGGGGAACGGGAATGAGTCTGCTCCTTGACGGGAATCCGCAGGAGCTCATTGAAAATGCAGCCGTGGTTAAAGGATCTGCCTCTCCCAGAGCCGTCCTGGGGATGCCTCGGGTTTTGGCTTTTCTGTTTTTCACGTTCTGTGCTGCTCTAGTGTGTATTTCTGAGCTTCATATCAGGGGATGCTGAGCTCTGCGCACAGAGCAGGGAGACAAAACAATTCCTGCTCCAGCTGGGCACCAAGGACAAATGATCCAAATCTCAGCCCAGGAGCATAAATAATGCTCTTAAATAATGGTGATTTAAATGGTGATTATAATATAATATAATAAATAATGGTGAATTGGAGAGAGAAAAACAAGAAGGATGGGACTGCATAACCTAAAGCTGTAATTGCACAATTAACTCCAAGATGCAAATGGAGCAGAGCTTTAAAAAGTGAGAGGCCTCGTGAGTGGTTGTCCATTTTGTGACCATTTTGGTTCATCTTGGGTTAATTTTGTGACCATTTTAGTTCATTTTGGGTGCATTTTGTGACCATTTTGCTTCATCTTGGGTGCAGCCCTGGCTGGGCTCTTGTGCTGCCCAAGGTGGATCCATTGAGGAGATCCTTTGAATAAATCCCTGCTTTATTCTCTGTCCAGCCTCTGTTCCAGGCCAGCCTTCTCAAGGCATCACAGGTGATGATCCTTTACTGAAACGCTGGAAGGAAAGCCCAGAGCTTTGGAGGAGCAGCCTCTGTCCCAAATCAGAGAATTCCTGAATGATTCAGGTTGGAAAGGACCTTAAAGCTCATTTAATTCCAATGACAAGAGCAGAGGCACCTTGCGCCCCCCCCCCACCAAAGAAACCCAGAAAGGCCTCAAAATTCCTGGCAAACCTGGAGGGAGCCCTGGAGAGCAGCAAAAGCTCCCACCAAGCCATGAAAAAAAATTCATTTCAGAGGGGCTCCAGTCCTGCTGTCCTTGGAAAGTGCTGGGGGAGACAAAAAGGGAAGAATTTGAGGAGGCTCCATGGTGCCCCTGGGGGGATTTGGGAGCCTGCAGCAAAGATATTTAGGATATTTAGAAGGATCCTGGGCTAGGAGGAAGGGGACAACTTCCAGATGCAGAGGAGGAGCCCCAAAATTCGGAGTCTGATGGGTTTTCCTTGTCCTGTCCCCTGGAGAAGCCGGTGCTGAGCTGCAGCTGGCGCAGAGACAGGAGCATCCCTCCATCCCTCCTCTCTCCCTAGGGAGGGATCTTCGCTGAGCCAGGCACAAAAAAAAAAAAAAAAAGAAAAAAAGAAAAAGAAAAACCACAGCCTCGAGCCCCCAGAAATAACAGCGCAATTAGCAAAGTAATTAAATCGCAAATCCTGCCCCGGTAATGTCAACAGCGGGGAGGGGGGGACAGAGCCGGGTCCTGCCTTGATTAAACCTGCCCTGGACAGTCAGGGATGGCTTTTCTGATGCTGGGAAATGAATCTGCCTCGAATATCCCTCCATCCCCTGGGATGTGGGGCAGCTCGGGAGGCAGCACCTCCTGCCCCACCAATTTTGGGGTCCCCATTCCTGGAGAAATCCCACAGGGCTGAGAGTGGCTGGAGGCATCCCAAGAGGGGGAATGGAGGGAAAAAAAGGCTCTGAGTGAGGCTGGAGGGTGAGGAAATGGTGGAGGGAAAGGGAAGGGGCTGAGCTGAGCACAGGATAATCCCCATTTTTCACTCTGCTCTGATGCCTCCTCCCTCAGAGCCTGGAGACATCGATGCTCTGTGAGGTTTGTGGGGTTTTGTGAGAGTTTAAAGGGTTTGTAAGGCACGGCTGGGGGCACGAGCACCCCATGGTGGGGAGCAGGGGGACACCAGGGTGCAGGTGCCCAGCTCTGCCTGCTCCTCACAGGTGGCTCCTGCAGCCTCACAAGGCCAAATTAAAATGCAAATATGTCCCTGCCTGCTGGGAACAGATAGCGAACCACTGAGCAGGGAAAAGGCAGCAGGAATAAACACAGGGAGCACGGAGAGTGCTGCTGTTTCATGATTTTACACGGGGTTTTTTTCTTTCTGTGGCACTTGGCTGTTTGGTTTGGGATTGTTTAATGGGGTCAGTCAAGGGGGAAGGTGCTGGGTTTGGGGTTTGTCCCTGTGGGTGCCACCAGTGCTCAGCTGCAGCCTCCATCTCCCCATCTCCAACAGCACTCTGGGGTCTTTTTTGAAATTATTATGTCCCAACTGGATCATTCCTATGGAAAAAAAAAATAAATTGGCAGTGGTAGGAGTGAAGAGGACCAGAGACCACCAGAGCCTTCAGAGAACTCCCATTTTCCTGGGGTTTGTCCCTGGGTGTTTTGCATTTGCTGATGGACTCCCAGGGCATCAGGACCTTGGAAAAATTGGTGGGAAGCTGCTTTGCTGGTATTCTGAATTTCCAGAGGGACTGGGATGGTGGGTGAGACTCGGGAGTGTATTTAGGGGTGTCTGTAAGTGCACCCCTGCCCCTGAGCAAAGCCTTTCTATATTATACAGCATTTATATACATATATATAAATATATATACACAGTAGAGATTCATATATATGTATGAAGTCTAAATACATCCATATGTATGAATTATAAATATCTGCATCCAAAGGCACCAATAAATAGATGGAGCCACACAGAAGGGTTTGCTCTCTTCACCCTGGGCAGGAGAGGCAGCAGGAGCAAACACAAAACCCTGAGCAGGGCTTTTCCCTGGTCCCTCACTCAGGAATGATTGAAACCAGGGATGCTGGGAATGGCCTGGGGGAGATGCCAGGGGGTGCAGGGATGCTGCAGGACACAAACTGGAAGCACAGAGCCCTGAGAGCTTCCTACAAACACCGTGGGGCTGTGGGTGCTGAATTCCCAGTGCTGAGCTGGAGCCATCAGCTGGGATGGGAAGTGATGGGCTGGAAAACCTCTGCTGGTGCTTGGTGTCAGACCTTGGGCTTGGCTACGGCTGGGAGAGCAGCCAGGAGAGGTGGGAGAGCCTGGCAGTGGGGACAGCCCCTGCCAAGCCTGGCCAAGCTCCCTGGTTCCCACAGCTCTGTCCCTGCTGTCTCCATCTCCCACCCCCATATGGGCCAGAGTCAGGCACTGCCAGCTCTTATTACAACTATAAAATTTTATTCCACCCTTTTCTGACCTTCCCCCTTTCTTTTTTTCCTTCCCTTTGTAATTTTTTTCTTTTTTTCATTTATGTTAATTCAGCGAGGAGGTTTGGTGGTTCCAGGCAGGGGAGGCAGCTGTGTTAATTTTCCTGCTCAGAGCCACAATCAGCTCTGTGGCTGGTTCAGACAAAACCAACTCCCTGCACGCCCTGCCTGCACTCTGAGCACGTCTCCACTCCCTTGTATTTATATTTATATGTACATATTTGTATATAAAAAAACAGCATAGAGCTCTCAGGTAAATTTTAAGGTCACCCAGGGGAGAAACTTTCAAAGACCCAAAATTGATAAACTCCTTAAAGAGGCTTTTGAGACACCACACACCACCCCAGACCACGGCTCGCCTGCCAGGGAAACTGAGGCACGGGTGGGGCTGCTCTCTGCCCCCTCAGGCTGCCCAAGAGGAGAGGATCTTGGAGGGGAAACCCTCAAAACCACAAAATGCTCAGTCAAAGCTGAGCCATCCCCCAGCAGATCCCACAGCCACCCCCACCCCAGGCATCACAGCAGAGACAGGGCCCATGACAGTGCTGCCACTTTGCTTTTTGTTTCATTTTTTTCCTTTTCTGGTCTTTTATTTAAGAAAAAAAAAAAAAAAAGAAAAAAAAAGAAAAAAGAAAAAAAAAAAAGAGACACAGTGGTGGGTAACTTTCGATCCAGAAATAATCCGCTGCCAACTTCCACCAGGTGATGCTGGGGGAGTCCCTGTCCCCACATGCTCGGTGCCCATGGGGACAATTGCACAGCCCAGGGTACCCTGGTGTCCCCCCCAAGGCTGGGGATGCTCCACACTGGGCTGGGAGATGGGGTGGCCCTGGGCTGGGGGGGCCCCTTGGGTGAGCCAGAGGGGCTGGGAGGTGCCACCAGCACGGGGGGACCGGGAGGCATCGGGTTATGGCAGTCAGAAGGCACCACACAGGCTGAGCCTGGCCCCGGGCGTCCCTGCTGGGCTGGCACTGGGGGAGATGGGCTGGCACTGGGACACACAGGCCAGCTCCCATTGACGGTGTCCCCAGGCACTGGGGAGCCCCCACACCACATTCCCATCCCACATTCCAGCACTGGGAGGGGGCACAAAGCAGTGGCTGCCCCTGGAGACCCCAGCAGGGCTGTGGGGTGGAGGGGTCCCAGCACTGGCCCCATGGTGGGACAGAGGGACAGGCAGGGGGGGCAGCAAATGGCCCAACTGGTCACCCCCAAACTGCCCAAGCAGCCAGGGAGTGAGTGCGGCACAGCAGGTAAGGGGACAGCAGTGCCCTGGGCCCGTGGCCATTGTGGCCCCCATTCCTGCCTCCCCCAGCATCACCCAGCATGGGCCAACACCCCAAAATCCACAGGGTGACCCAGCACTCACCTCCAAAATTGTGCAACTGAGTGCAGCAAAGGCTGGAGGAGGCCCTTGGGGAGCCTCCCCCACCACATCCCTGCTGGGCTCCGGGGGAGAATTTGGGATCTCTCCCTTTTCCCAGCCCCTTCCCGGCAGGACCCCCAGCCTCCTCCTGCCCGGGCCACACGCACACCCTGAGCTGTGACCCCATCCCCGGCCGGCAGCTGGGGGGCCACGCTGTGCTGCTGCTCCCCTGGGACACCCGCTGAGGAAAACTGAAAGAAGGCGCCCCCGGAGGTGCCTTTGGACGGGGTGAGGACGTGAGACGTGCGGAAGAAGGAGCCAAACGTGGGTGCCCGGCCCCGGGGAAGCGTGGTGGTGGCGTGGCACGGCGTGGTGTGGCGTGGCACAGCGTGGCAGCCCCTCCCTCCCGCCCCGTCCCCGCTGCTGCTGCTGCTGCCCCTGCGTTAAGCGATCTCCTTGATCCTGCGGATGTAGTTGTGGAGCTCCTCGGGGTCCTGCAGCCCCATGTCCTGGCACACCCACTCCAAGTCCTCCTCGTCGGCGATGGGGATGGAGTTGTAGGCCAGCTCGTCCGAGGGCATGGTGGCGAAGGTGGTGAACTTCACCCGCTTCCGTTTGGAGGTGGGCGAGTTGAGCGGGTCCTCGCTCTGGTCCCGCGTGGAGCCCCCCGAGGAGCCGTCCCCGCGCCCGTGCACCTGGCTCTGCACGCTGGTCTGCGAGCTCCCGCTGCTGTGGTGGTCCCCGTGGCAGCAGGTCTGCACGTTTTCCAGCGGGTTCCCCGGGCTCTCGGGCTGCGGGGAGAGGTCATTGTGAGCCCTCAAGGGCTGCCCGTTGCCCAGGAAGACCCAGTGGTGGGAATGGTCCATGTTGGTCTGGCCTTCCGGCGGGATGCGCTTGTGCCGGTACTTCAGCACAAAGACGATGCAGTTGATGAGGAAGACCAAGATGGCCAGGCAGAAGACGCCCAGCAGGGCGTACATCCCGATCTCCAGGTCCGTCAGCCCCCGCGTCACCTGCACGAAGCCAGTGGGGATGGTGGGGAAGTCCTCGGTGGGTTGAGACGCGCTGGACATCCGGCTGTCCTGGCTCGGGTCCGCCTTCCTGTCCACCTCTGCCCGCAGGGTGGTGCTGGCCCCGGCCTCCCCCAGCCCCGGCCTGCTGGACACGTGGTCGTAGTCGTAGGTGGGGTCCTCCTCGGAGCCGAAGTGGACGCGCACGGTGGCCAAGGCCGTGGAGAGGACGCTCTTGCGCTTGGTCTTCTGGCAGCTCTCGCAGATGACCAGCTCGGCCCGCAGCAGCTCCCCCGCGCCCTCGCTCTCCGCCACCACCAAGGGGAACGCCCGGTCCTGGGTCACCGACACCACCTTCTCGTCCAGGCTGCTCACCACCAGGTTGTAGTCCTTGGGGTCGTACAGGGACAGGGGGGCCGTGGTGCCGTCGCTGTAGGAAATCCACAGGCTCAGCAGCGCTTCCTGCGGGACCAACACAGGCACCGGTTGCCCAGCAGGAGGCCAGTCCCACCCCTTTGTCCGTCCCCCATCCACCCTTTATCCCTCCATAAGCCATCTCATTCCAACCACTCCCTGGTTTCTCTTCAGCCTTTTCTTCTCTCCATTTTCCCCGTGCTTGCCCAGGCTCAACCCAAATCCCAGATGCGGCTACCAGAGCTGGGCCAGGAGCTGTACAGGATTCCATCCCTCCCCTTTATCCCCACGGTTGTGTCCTGTCACCAGGTTTGGATCACAGGTCTCTGTGAAGGTTTCTGGGGTGTTTTGAGGTCACCAGGGTGTCGTGAGGACAGTGGATGCTGTGAGGGCTGGATTTGGGAGGAGAAGGTTGCACCCCAAGTTCCCCCCCAAGCCTGGATGCACCCTTGGCCTCACCTGCTTGAAGAAGCTCAGGGTTTGCTGCACGGACGTGCGGGCGATGATGGTGTGGCTGTTGCCAGGGCTGGGGTGGAGGGACAGCGAGAGGCTGGAGACCACCTGGGCCTTCAGGTCTGTGATGCTGACCTTCTCCTCCGCCACCGTCACCAGCGTCTCACCCAGCACCGCCTCCACCAGCGGGGACACCACCTGCAGGGACGAGGTTCCTGTCACCCCCTACCAGCCCAGCCAGGCTGGCAGAGGGGGAAAGGTGGCCAGGGGTACCTTGAAGAGGGTGGTCCCTGGCTCCCGCCCGGCCAGCGTGGAGCTGTCCACCATGTGGGCCACCCGCGGGTCGTCCACGCGCATGAAGTCGCTGACCAGGTCGGTGACCTCCACCAGCCAGTCCGGCCCCAGCATGGTGACCACCTGGCCCATGCCCTCAGCTGCTGTGGTGTGGAACTGGGTGAAGACCTGCAGCGTGGAGTGCTGGTACTGCAGGGCACAGCCCCGGCTCTGCTTCCGCTCATCCTCATCTTCCTCGTGCTCGCTGTCCCGCACCGACCTGCGGGACGATTGGATGGGTGGAATGACGTGTGGATGGAGCAGTGAATGGGCAGTGCTGCCAAGCTCCCCACACCATGGCTCCTCAGCCCCCCTCAGGAAAGGTGGCCAATCAAGGAAAAACAAGATGTCACCAAAAAATGGTGGTTCCTGGGGAAAGGTGCCTGTTGTGCATTCAGGGGATTTATCAGGACGTGGTAACAGCAGGGTCACCAGCATCTCTGCCCACTCAATAAATGAGAGGACAAGGTATCTCTGCTTGGGATGGACACCTGGAGGGCTCTAGACCTTAAAAAAGGGACTTGGGAGCTTGGCTGTTCCCAGTTTCATCCAGGGAACTTTTGACCACAGCCAAGGAGCGATGTTCTCCACCAACCTTCACAGTGAAATTTATTCCTTCCCCATAACCTGTGTCCATGACCTCTCCCCTTTCCACCCAAGACCCCTGAGACACCTCTCTCCCCACCACCTTTAAAACCTCCTCATGAAGTAGCTGAGCAAGACAATTAACCCATGACCACCACCTCCACCTGGCCTTCTCCAGGCTGGCTCCTCAGCACCCACCTCCTGTCCGGCAGGATGGGCACCCTCCAGCCCTTGACCTGGCTCAGCCGGGCGTCCGAGAGCTCGATGTGCAGGGGCAGTTTGGGCACCCACACCGTCATCTCCAGCGGGGCCGACAGGTGCTCGTAGGTGAAGGTGACCCGGGCGCTCATGGAGCCCCGCGACTCCTTCCCGCTGACAAAGACGTAGTCGCAGCTGCTGGAAACCTGTGGGACAAGAGGGAGGATGGGAACGGTCCTGTAGGCACGGCAGAGATGCTGGCAGGAGGCTGGAAGAGCAGAATGTCAGCCAGCATGAATCCCGTTCATGCCCCCGGAGCAGGGATGCTCCCTCCTCCCGGAGATCCTGCTCAGAGGGAGATCCACACCTCGTGTCCACCATGGAAAGTGTGCCCTGACCCAGGTCCTCCTGGGGAACAGATCCACACCTCATGACCACCATAAAAAATGGCCTTTGACCCAGGTCCTCCAGCCAGCTCTTACCCTCTCTCACCTCACCAGGAACCTCCACTTGGTGCCTCAATTTCTCTTTGGCCTCCACACTGAATTGTCCCTCAGCTAGAGGAACCCACGGGTACTTCACAGAGGTTGCAAATTGCTCAACCTGGAAATTTGCCCCAGAATCTCTTCCAGAGGAGGCAGCAAGCACAGACCCTTCTCATGCCTGTCCCCACCAGTGCCTTGTCCTCATCCCTCCTGCTAACCCCAGAGCAAGATTCCTGTGGTCTGAATGAATCCTCCTGAACCTCTTCTTGCTCCTCCTCTTTTAATTCCCACTTACACAAATGCCATTCATTAAATTTGCTATAAAACAAACCCGTCCTGCAGGGGGGGTCACTCATTACTGCCCACCTGAGCCAGTTAAGGAGCTCAGGGGACACCAGGCCAGCATCTCCTGGGGCTTGAGCTCAGGTCACCAGCCAACAGCTCCTTCCCAGCCAGAGTGGCAGAAGACAACCAGAAGGGGACTCCAGCCTCTCATCCCTGTCAGGGATTGCATCCAATTTGTTGGATGGTGAGGAAGAAGAGAACCCATTTGCTCAGCCAGCAGCACTGAGCACCTCAACAGCACAGAAGAGCTGATTTCCAGCAGTCAGGAATCCCTGGATTCTCTGGTGGCTGATAAAGGGCTGAGGCCAGGCTGCAGGTGGCTGACAGGGGAGGTGACAGCATCCCTATCTCCCAGCCTGTTTCTTGAGCACCTCTGGGCAACCAGATACAGGAACTTTGCATTTCTGAGCCCACAGCAGGGTTTGACTTCTACAACAGCCCCAGGAGCTCGATGCACGGTGTCCACAGTCCCCTAGGGCTGGTGGAGGAGGCAGAACCCTGGATCTGAGCTCCTGGGGACATCCCTGAGCCCAGGAGGGAAGGGCAATGCAGGAGGGTTTGTTCCTTGTCTTCCTATCAGAGGTACCAGCTCAGCAAGTCTGACAAGACAATCTCATCCGTGGCGAGGCCTGAATAAAGATGAGCTCCCAGGTGAATCGTGCAGCAGAGGATCTCTGGATATTGTGCCATTTATCACAATAAACACGATGGGCTCTGCTTGCATTACCTCGGCTAATAAACCCCCCGGCACCTCCTTCTGGGCACCACTTGCTCTGCAGCCAGGAGGGGGTTGAAACTATGACAACAAAAGATCCCTGCACACCAGGCCTGTCCCGAAGATGGAGTGAGTGCAGATTAGCTCGGAAATGAAGCTTGTTCGGGGAAACTTCCCGGATTTACGGCGAGCTGTCAGGAACAGAGAGGCTGAGGGCTGCCTGGGCTCCCTGCCAAGCACCACTGCCTCCACTGCTGTGGCCAGGAGTTCCCAGCCTGGCACGGGGACAGGCCTGGGATCAAGGGGACACATGTTCTCCAAGGCCCCCAGGAGTGGGGAGAGCCACCATGGTCCTTGTGGTGGCTGTGGGTGAGCAGGGTCCCTGAGGATTGGTCCCACTGAGCTCCTGGGGGGTTCTCCAGGGGATGTGGAGTGTGGGGTTCCCAGAAGGGTCACACACAGGTGAGGTTGAGCATCTCCCACTCCCGGTGTGACCCTCCACAGCCCACAAGATCACCACCCATGTGAAAAATAGGAGGTGATTTCCACATTACCATGAGTGGTGATGTCCTCCCTGTACACCTTTATCACCACAAAAGGGTATGAGCATGACAACTCCCACTCACGCTCTCCCACCACATCCTTCAGAGCCACGTCCACAGCAAGCCCAGGACAAATTCCACGTTACACAAGAGAGCAACCACCAGGGAGCCACCCCAGAGCGGGGAGAGGCAGCTCCCCAGCCCGCCCTCACGTTAAATTATTTACAGTAACAGATAGCACATCCCACTCCGTAAGCTGTGATTTATGGAGCAGGTTTAGAGCCCTGACACCGCAATCATACTCCCCGATCTCAGCAGGTAACTGAGAGCTCCCTCGGAAATGAAGCTCCAACACAAACACCAAATAACTCAGCAAGAAACGGCACAGGGCTCGGAGCAGGACGGGAGCCGGGGCCGGAGGGCTGCTCCCTGCATCATTCATCCCAGCTCCTGGGCATGTGCCTGCTCCCCCCAGGGCTGGGGACAGAGTGCCAATAGATTTATGAGCAGAAAGGCAGCACATTAAACAGTTTAAGTGTCTTGGAGTCCATCCTGAAGTGTATTATTGCTCCAGTGTTTTATCACGCTGGGGAGGACTGGGCTCCATAAATTAGAGGCGGTCCTGTAAATCCCACGGATGTGAGTTTTAGTCAAGAACTTGGGTAAGCACTTTGGGCCACTGGATGTCCCCCATGGAGAGCAAATCCCAGCAGGGACAGAGCTCTGCCACCACCCCTGTGGCAAAGAGGAGAAGGGGCTACGGCCTCCTGGAGAATCCAGACCCCTTCCCTGCCTCTGCCCAGCCCAGCAGAACATGGAAAGGGAGAGCTGGCTGGGTGCAGGCAGGGAGAGGGGTGGGAGGTGTTCAGGAGAAGGGAATGATGTCTGGGGGTGGATGGATGGATGGAAATGGTGGCAGAGTGACACGGGCAGGTGGGCAGATGGATTTATTCAGGGATGGAAGAATGTATATGGATGAACAGGGCTGGTGATGGAAAATTGGAGGGTTTGAGGATCAGGGGCTGCCTCAGGGCAGGGGCAGGGAGAATTTGGCATTGGCCCCATCAGCACCTCTCCCACCTGGATCTTCCCCCTCAGGTCCCCTTTTCCCTCCATCATTCCCATCTCACCAGTCCCCTGATCCAATCAGGCCATCAATGTCACTCAAGGCCCGAGTGCAGGCACTGATGGGAGCGTGCAGCTCAGCCCACAGGGACAATATTTCCCCCTATCAGCACTGACTGTTGTGATAACCCACACTTACTGCTGCTGCCAGCGTGGGAGCATCCCATGGCCCTCTCCAGGGACAGTGACAAAATGTCTTGTCCTTCTCCTAACAGACCCCAGGGAGAAGCTTGCACAGACTGGAGCCACTGAGGGGTTGATGCTTGGTTTGGGTGGGGTTGTGAGCCACATCAGCTCAGTCACCAGCCCCAGCCCAGGGTGCTGTTGGAGCCAGCACTCCTGGAAGAACCCCAGCCACTCACGAGGGTCACAAGGCCCCCATTCCCCATACCTACCTTGATGATGTCCTCGTTGTTGGACTTGCACTCCACCATGGCCGAGACATCCACGATGGCGCCGCTGAGCTCGATGGCAATGACCTTCACGGGAATGGCCACCGTGCGCCCCGTCAGGATGGCTGTGTTGATGATCTCCGTGTCCTGGGGGTGGCAGGGAGAGGGCACCATCATGTTAGAGGGCAGAGGAGGACCTGGGGGTGGGTGGGATGGATGGGTGATGGATGGATGGATGATAGGTGGATGGAGGGACAGACATACAGATGGATGGGTGGATGGATGGACGGACAAACAGATGGATGGGTGGACAGACATACAGATGGGTGGATGGATGGATGGACTGATGGATGGATGATGGGTGGATGGACATACAGATGGATGGATGGAGGGACATACAGATGGATGGAGGGATGGATGCTATAGGGCACATGGTCCATCCTCAGGGGGTACCAACCCCTCAAAGCAGGTAACAACAGAGGGCAGGAACCTGCTCACCATGGCCAGGGGCACGATGGCCCTGATGTCCCTCTGGATGACCGTCAGCTCTGTGACCACCTTCTCCAGGTCGGGCGGGGGGTTGCGGCCCCGGTAGTCGATGTGCCACATGATGCGGCGCGTCACCGACTGGCTCGTGAAGTTCTCCATCTCGAAATCCAGCTGCATGATCTCGGACGAGGAGTCCCCATCCCTGGGCAGGGGGACGGGAGGAGGGGACACGGTGAGGTGGCTGTCCCAGGCCCCACGGACGCCCTGGGATAAGCACCAGGCCATCAGAGTCCCCAGCAGGCGTCCTTGGTGTCCCCAGGCTGCCAAGGGGGACTGGCAGTGGGTGCCACCCAAACCCAGCAGCCCTGACACCTCACCTCTGCAGAGGCTGCTCCGATGGGATCCTGCAGATTCCCATGGGAATCTCCACAGTGGGAGACAGAAATGTTTTTCACCACCTCCCCCAGGAGGACAAAAAAACCTCATCAGCTCTGCCAGGGCTGCTGGGTGACATCACAGGGTGGGCAGTGGGTGGCTGCAGGTGCTGGCCTTGTCTCCCTGACTCCATCTTCCCAGCAGTGTGGATGGATTTACTGCTCCTGCCTGGACACTCATGTCCCACAGGTCAGATCCCGAGTGTCCCACACCCAGAGCACTCAGGAATGACAAATGAGTGTCAGCACATGAGCTCTGCCCAAGCTGGTGACTTTACAGGCCTTTCCAAGGGAATCCCACAGGGAAACTGAGTCACAGGAGAGTTTCAAGCCCACACAGCAGGCAGGACAGCACTGAGCTGGAACATGGGACAGGGTTGTCCCCAGCCTGTGAGGGAGGATGGGCAGGGGAGAACAGCCCAGGACCATCAGCTCAGCAAACACACACACATGAATGCCAGGGCTGAGGACAGCAGGACATGGAGCTCAAGGACAGGGTGGACACCACCTCTGGGATGTCCCCAGGGCAGGACATCATGGCTTGGACACAACCCCACAGCTACAGCATGAATTATTCCTACACCCCATCCCTACAATCAAACCTGCCCAGACCTGATCCTGCCCTCCCAGCTCTGCAAATCCTTGGAGTGACACAGGGTCCAGCCCTGCCCCAAGTCAAACTTCACTGCTCCCCAAAAGGTGAACACCCCCAGAGGAAATCCCAGAGCCCCCACAAACCACAGCACTGGTAAAAACCCCCCACAGAGCCAGCGAGGAGGGGAGGAGAAGTGAAATTCCAGTGGGAGGGAAGCCAGGACTGGCTCCAGTTTCATCTCAGTGCAGCAGCAATTGAGAAGGTCCCATCGATCTGGGGATGCAGGGCACAGCTGGGTTTCTCTCTAATCAATATCTAATGAGTGACAGGGAGCAGGGAGAGAGGAGAGCAAGAAGCTGGAGCTGCTCCAGGCCATGGCAAGCCCTGATCCCTGCTCCCTTCTCCTCATCCCACAGCAGCTGTGATGGGCTTTGCAGTGGATCCACAGGGGCTGGTGGGGTCTCGCTCTGCCCCAAGGCAGCTCTGGGCTTCAAGAGGAATCACCAAAGGCCACAGGGTTTAAAAAGCAGATTTGGCTGCTCTTCCAATGCCAGGAGCACCAAACCCAGCTGGGAAGAGGCCGGTCCAAAGGCACAGCAGAACCAGAGGAGGTGTGGCAATGGGACCCCTCACTGTGGGGTGCCCTGAGGTGTCCCAGAAGTGCTGCCAAGCCCAGGCACCATCCCCTGCCCAGAACAGACAGGAGCCAGGCTGCCAGCATTGGGGGAACAATTGAGGATGCAGCTCCTGGCCTGTAAAACACCCCAAACCGGCCATTCTGACCCCAAAGCTAAGGGCTCACAGCCCATCCCTGCACAGCCAGCACTGCCAAAAGCCCCCAGGGCTCCAGTGAAGCAACTCCTCTGTTTGCACAGCCTGGAGGGCAACACGGCTTGGAGTCATTCATCCTCTCCATTCCGTTAATATTTGATGGAGTTGTTTGTCTAAAAGGTGATTGTAATCACTTTAAATTCCTCCCCCGTCTCTAACCTTTGCAGGCTGATTGGAAGCGGTGCTGGCAGCGGGAAGGGGGGAAGGGGGACGGGATCCTGCTGCTGGCAGCTCTGCTCTCTGTGCTGTGGGGTGGCCGTGCATGGGACAGGAGGCTGCTGGCCCTGGGGACGCTCCAGGATGAGGCTGTGGCTGCTTTTTCTGCCTAGGGTTAGGGTTTTGGAAACCACGAAGCCCAGAGCTCCAGGCACACTGCAGGTGAGAAAGGCATCCCAAGGGGAACACAAAACTGAAACAACATGGCTTCCTTCACAGCTTTCTCCTTGGAGCCAGCCCTAGCCCAGGGCTGCCTTTCCTGCCTAGGGTTAGAGTTAGGGTTACATCTAAGGTTAGGGCTTTTAAAACAGAAAGCCCAGAGCTCCAGGCTCACCGCAGCTGCAAAAAGCATCCCAAGGGGAACACAAAACCGCCAAGACCTGCTGTCCTCCACAGCTTTTTCCTTGGAACCAGCCCTAGCCCAGGGCTGCCTTTACTGCCTAGGGTTAGGGTTATGCCTAGGGTTAGGGTCTCAGAAACCACAAAGCCCAGAGCTCCAGGAACGCTGCAGCTGCCAAAGGTATCCCAAGGGGACCACAGAACTGCCACAGCGTGACTGCCTCCGTGGCTTTTTCCTGGGAAACAGCCCCAGCTTTTCAAGTGCTGTGGGAGCAGTTTGGAAGCAGCGGGATGGAGAAGGAAATTCTGCTCTACTGGTAAGAAATTGGCTCTGCGGGGCTTTGGAGGTCACACCAGGGCAGGCAGAGCTGAGGAGATCTTTTTCCAAGAGACTTGGCCTCAGATTTGCTCAATTTTTGGGTGGAGGACAGAGATGTGGGCAGATTTCCATGGCGGAGGATGGGATGTCTTGAGCACATCCAGTTGCTTTAACCCAGCTCCTGGAGACACTTGTGTCCCTTTCTCCAAGGCACAGTGACAGAGACATCACTGCTGTTTTCCAGCACTTCAGAATCTTTCCTGCTGCTGTTTGTGACCCCACTCCATGTTCTGCCAGTCTCACATCTCCCCTTCAGGCTGAGAACCCTCTGAGGTCTCAGCTTGGCTTTGTGGGTCCTTTCTCCTTCAGATCATTCTCAATTCCATCTCCAGGGCTCTGCTCAGCTGCTCTTTCCCAGAGTCTCAGGAATGTGTGAGCAGGGCAGAACTGCCTGTCTCAGGTGCTCACTTGGATCCTGCTCCCCATCCAACACTCATCCATCATTTTAGGGCTCAGATGGGGCCTTGCCTTTCCCCCCTTCCTCCCCAGAGGAGGCACCAGGATAGACAGCAAAGAGCTGCTGCTTCTCACAGGATTAAAACCTAATAAAAAAAAATTAAAACTCTTCCACCCCAGACTAAGGAATCCTCCATAGCTTCAAAACTCAGCCCTGAAATCCTCAGTTGAAATCCTCAGTTTCCCCTGCCAGCACCCAGGTGGCACTGCAGCCACCCAGGCAGAACTGCTCCAGACCCAATCCCAGCACTCCCCTGGCACTCCCAGAGGTGCAGCCCTTACCTGGGCCCGGCCCCATCCACCCTGGACACGTCCACGGTAGCAGTGGAGTGTTTGCCACCCGTCAGCAGCTCCGAGCTCACCAGCCACTGCCCGCTCCTGGACTTGGTGCTGAGCAGGTTCACACCTTTCTTGGCCTTCACCCTGCAGAGAGCAAGTCAGGGATGGATCCTCACCCTCAGGCACTCCTGGATCCCCTGGGATACCCTCCCGTGGCACGGGGGGAGTTTTCTCCCTGATCCCTTCAGGCTGTGGGAAGCATCACCCAGGCTGGCAGCAACAGCCCATTCCAGCTCCTGTTTCATGGCATTTTGTCCCTCCAGCAGGATTTTGGACCCCCAGCCCCAGTGCTGCCCCCAGGCACTGAGCACCCCTGGGGTGAAGGACAGGGGAGCCTGGAGCACCACATCCCCCATTCCAGAGGCCACAGGGACACTTGCAAGTGCCCTTTGAAGAGGCTTGGCCAGGGCTTGTGTCCCCATCTTTAGGGACACGCAGTGATGGGGGTCCCCCCTGCACACCTGCCCACACTGGGGTTCTCAGCACCTCCTGCCCACCACCCCATTCTGCTCCCACCTGGTTCTGGGGCAGGAGGAGGGGATATGGGGGATCCCCCTCACTCCACAGCAGCCCCAAGGCTGTACCACACCTTGTCCCCAAAGTGGCTGGGAATAAACCCAGATCCTGCACTGGGCAGGATCCCAGTGCAACTGGGAGCACTGGGAGAGCAAAGGCAGCAGTGCACAGTGGCAGTGCAGAGGACAGCCCTTCCCTTTCCTGCAGGAGGTTCCCACTGCAAACCCATGGAATTGCTGGGTTTCATCTGGATTCAGAGGATTGTGTGCCAGGAATAAAGCTCTGGATCCAAACCCTCTAGCAGAACTCGACTCCTTTCCTTCACCTCTCCTTGAAGCCTCTCCACCTGCAGAGGTAAACCTGAGCTCCTGCTTGCCTGGACTTGTCTCCAAGTGCCCAGCTGCAGCACCCAGCCAGCCAAAGGTGTCTCTGAGGTGAAACCACCACAGCTGCTGCCTTTGGTCAAGTAGCAAGGGCCAGACGAGCCCAGGCATTCCATCTGGCTGTATTGGTACTTAATTCCAATAATTCCAGATGTTCCAGACCTGCCCCAGCCTCCAGCAGATCCTACAAACACCCCACCCTCCCACAGCTGCTTTTCCTTGTCAAAAGCAGTGGGGACAGCCCCAGGGCCTCACCTGAGGGTGAAGTGCTCCACCGTGGAGTTGGACATCAGGTAGAGGAGGATGCTCAGCACCTCCCCGGGCTTCAGGGGCTTGTCGGGCAGGCGGATGAAGACGTTTCCATCCAGGTGATGCTCCTGCAGGGCGGGCCCCGGCGGGGGCTGCAGGAGGCTGACGCTGCCGATGCGCAGCAGCGGGTGCTGCGTGGGACCCTCGGTGCGGGCCCCGCCAACGCCACGGCGAGCGTCCCCCAGGCACTGCCCGGCGCCGTCGGGGGCGTGCAGGGTGTAGTACAGCTCTGCCTGCTGGCTCTCCACCTCCAGGCTCTCGGGGCTCTTCCTCCTGCCCAGCGGCACGGCCGAGGGGCCGAACCAGGCGTGGGGCAGCTCGGCCTGCACCAGGCACATGGCCAGGCTGCCCCGCAGCCGGCACGAGCTCTTGAGCTCGCGGGCGTCGCGGAAGGCGTGGAGCCGCACGCAGGGCAGCCGGTCCGTCACGTCGAAGTCGTCCCAGTCCCGGCCGGCCACGTAGAAGAGCACTTGGACCACGGGCTGGCTGGCCACCAGCCGGGGCTGGACGATGAAGGCGCGCACCTTCCAGTTGACGGTGAGGCGGTCGGGCACCTCCAGGGTGCTGGAGGGCTGCAGGTGCTCCTTGGGCAGCACCAGCCCCGTGCTGAAGGGCCCCAGGGTGACGTTGAGGACGGGCAGCTCCTTGGTCTGGAAGACGACAAAAGGCTCGGAGCGCTGCAGAGGGGCGCTGCCGTTGCCCGCGGGGCTGGCTCCCAGCTCCTTGAGGAAGAAGGCCAGGCGGGTGTTGGACAGGCGGTAGCTGACGGGCAGCAGGATGGCTCCAGGGGGATCAGCAGGCTCGGGGCTGGGGGCCGGGCCCTTGGCGTGGGCTGCAGAGGGGAGGGAGAGCGCAGGTTAGCATGGGCATCCCCTCTGGAACAGCTCCTGAGCAGGGAATGCTGAGCCAGGCAAGAGCGGAGCGAGGAGGAGTTGGAGTTTCAGCTCCCCAAACCAGCAAGAGCCTGGCTGGGTTTCTATGCCACAAACTAAAAATGCAGAAGATCCCAGGAGCTCGAGCAGAGCCAAAGCCACCCTCATGGGGTGGGGTGTCCAGGCATGCTGAAGCCATGTCCAGCTTCCTGTGGTCCCTGGGGAGCCCAAACTGTTATCATCTTATTGCAAAAGTTCCATGCCTTCTTGGTGATTTCTCATGGGCATCTCCTCACAGCACTGACTCCTTCCTCACAGCACAGCCAACAAACTCCAGCTCACCCACTCTTTTGTAGCACTCATCCTCAAGGGACACAGCAGTGGCCTGTTAAGGGCAGGCCTGTTCCTAATCTTTGGTAATTTGTACAGCTGCAACTCCTCAGGGGTGAGATTGCCTTCTGCACCATCTTTTTTTTCTTACATTCTATCCCCCCACACTGAAGCACTGGTCACCCACCCCAGCAGTGCCTGAACCAGCACAAACCCTTCCACAGAAACAGCCACAGGGCTGGCTTCATCCCAGCTCCATCCCTGCTTCCCAAGGCACAGATGCTGAGTTTCTCCAGAGGCTCCTGACCAAAAGTTACATCCAGGTTAATTTTTGGCTGGCAGATCCCACCATGTATTTGTTATTATCATCAAGGCTTTCCTTCTGCTTCCAGCTCCCAGATCACCCAGGGAAGGTGGCTAAATCAGCCCCCAGACCTGCTCTGTCCCCATAGCTGCCTTAAGGGTGGTGTCACAGCCAGTCTGTCACCTGCCACCCACCCAGGGGTGTCACCCACACTCTGCTGTCCCCATGTGATAAACCTGTCCCAGCCCAAATTATTCCAGACCTGGTGGAAAGATGACACAGACGATGTTGGTGCCACTTTGTGCAAACCCCAGCAGCACCCAGGACCCTTCAAAACTCCCCTTTTGTCCTTCATTTTGATCAATTTTGCCTTAAAAAAAAAAAAACCCCAGGGCTGGCAGAGCCGGGAACGCCTGCCAGCCGAGGGGCAGAGCTGCCCGAGCCCCTCGGAAGGATCCGATTACAGCGCTGCAAGCAAAGGGAAAACCCACGGAAATCTCCCTGGGAAAGGCGTTGTGCTGGCAGCCGCGGGAGCCTGGAAGACATCTCAAGGTCTTTGCCTTCTCCAGCGGCTGCCAGGAATTCCCAGGAGGGCTGGATCCCCCCCGCTCCCCTCGGCTCCCCGCATCCCCCGTTCCCGGCGCTGATTGCAGCCGCTCCCAAGCGGCTCCCGAGCAGCAGAGCCCAAATTACCGGTGTCAAACCACGGCGAGGAAAGGGCTGGATGTGACGGCTCCGCTCCCGGCAATCGCTCAGTCCCCCCCTTCCCCACTGGGGCTTTGGAGCGTGCCAGGACCTGGAGGAATTTTCCAGCCCTAAAAAGCGACCCCAGCCGCTTTCCGGGGGGCTCAAGGGATGCAGGATCCCCGGGCCCAGCCGCTTTCCTGGGGGCTCAAGGGATGCAGGAACCTCCAGCTGCTTTCCTGGGGGCTCAAGGGATGCAGGAACCCCCGGCCCAGCCGCTTTCCTGGAGGCTCAAGGGATGCAGGAACCTCCAGCCGCTTTCCAAGGGGCTCAAAGGATGCAGGAACCTTCGGCCCAACCGCTTTCCTGGAGGCTCAAGGGATGCAGGAACCTCCAGCCGCTTTCCAAGGGGCTCAAGGGATGCAGGAACCCCCAGCCCAGCCTCTTTTCTTGGGGCTCCAGGGATGCAGGAACCCCCGGCCCAGCCTGGGAGGTCTCTGCTGCGGGGCACAGGGGAGTTAAGCAGCTTAGAGGGCTCATAAAAGGATTAGCACTGGATACGGGACAGGCAGAATCCGCATCCCGGGATGGAAGCTGTCCCGGAGCCGGGCAGAGAATTCCCCGGGGCTGTGGGAATGCTGGGGATGCGCTGCCACAGCTCCGGCCCCTGCCACCCTGTCCTGCTTGCTCTGCCTGTTTTCCCATCTCCCGGAGAGCTGCAGGAGAGGTGCTAAACCCTGGGATGTACCCATGGGAGCCCCTCTGCTCAGTGACACCAGCGCTGCTCCAGAACCAGCAGCTTTCTGCCCTCGTGATTCATGGAGGTTTTTTCTGCTGTGAAAGGTGAAGGGTTGCATCCTCCTGCCACCCTCAACGAGTGGAAAAGGGGATTTTTTTCCCAAGGCATGAGATTATTTGAGGAAAAGGATCCAGCAGCTGGAGCGACATGAACTGGACCCACTTGGGTACAGGGAAAGGGGCTTTGCTCAACCCACACTGAAACAGCATCAGACTTCAGCCCTCCCAGACCTCCAGGATCAGGACATTTCACAGGGAAAACCCACCCAAGTCCCACCCAACTCACTGCCCAGCACAGCCCCAAGCAGAATCCAGCCTTGAGGCGCTGCAGAATTTCTGGTGTCACCCTTGAGCAGGGCACAGGAGAAGCTCTGTGCCAGCCTGGTGAGCACCCCATGCCTGCTGTGAGGGGCACCCCCTGTCACCCACCCTCTGTCACAGGGTTTGGGCGCCATTTGGCCCCTCCAGCACCCATCTCCTCCCTCCCTCCATGAGGATGGGTGCTGGATAATCAGGGTTGGGTGCAGCAGGACGAGGAAAGCGCCTCCCAAACTCTTTTTGGTGCCACAATGGGGACAAGCGGGGTGGCCCTGTCACAGAGCCCTGCACCCCGGCCGCGCCAGCTGGGGCGGGGACAGGGACAGGGACAGGACCAGGCTGGAGATTAATGGCATGGCCATGATTAGTTGAGCGCCGGCGGATTGGCGGCACCCAGGGAAGCGATTTCCTTACCAGACAAAATGCATTTAAATGATGCTCTAATCTGTAGCCGGGAGGGGACGGGAGCGGCGCCTCCCTTCCCTGGCCCTAAACTAATCCCGACGGGAGAGGGTCTAACCCAGGCTGGAATTACAGCCAGAGGGACGGGAGGGAAGGAGAAGGGAGGCAGGAGGTGCGTGGAGCTGTGGGTGTGAGAAAGGGGGAACAGGGATAAATAAAACAGGGGGGAGAATAAAGGGATGGATGGATGGATGGATGGATGGATGGATGGATGGATGGATGGATGGATGGATGGATGGATGGATGGATGGATGGATGTCAAAAGTGACTGGACAGCAAAAGAGCAGCTCCAGGATGGGGAAAAGAAAAGGAAAGGGGGGGAAAGGAAAGGGGGGGAAAAGGAAAGGGGGGGAAAAGGAAAGGGGGGGAAAAGGAAAGGGGGGAAAAGGAAAGGGGGGAAAAGGAAAGGGGGGAAAAGGAAAAGACCCAACAAAGAAGGGTGCTTGGAAGGAGACAGGAAGGATGGACAGACAGCTCAGGAGTCTGCAGTCCCCACAGCGCCGTCCCCTGCCCTATTTCCCTGTCACCCCTTTCATCCCTCACGTCCCCCTGTGGCCGGGTCTGGGGCACAGAAGGGTTAAGCCCTGCCGCCGCTGTGGTGAGCGGGAGTTGCAGCACCTGACCTGCATTCCGGGTTTATTGGGCCGGCACTGAGGGGTCCATCTGGCCCCTTCCACCCCGGCAGCTCAGCACGGGCAGCCAGGGCACAGCTCCCCGTGCCTGGCACATCCCCGCTGCCCCGGGGGCTCCCCGCGCTGAGCAGCCACCCCCAGCCCCACGGTGGGACGGGGCAGGACTCCCGAGTGTCCCTCGGGAAGCTGGGGTGGCCTGGTGTAAACCCACACTGGTGACCCCTTTGTGGAGCCCCACATCTGCCCCGCCAGATGTGCCCCAGCCGCGGGGCCAGATGGGCAGAGCTGCTCTGCCTGCCCGGGAGGGCACGTGGGGACAGGGGCAGCGCCCTCCTGCCCTGCCTGAAATCCCAGACCTGGAAAAAACAGCCCCAAAAGGCCCTGCACATCCTCCAGCATCGGGCAGGAGGGTGCCCCATGAGAATGAATTCATTCTCGTGTTCTGCCAGTCCTGGGGAAGAGCCCAGAGCAAACCCAAACTCCTGCAGGGGATGGGAGGGGACAGCACCACGTGAGGTGGCAAAGCCACCCCAGCAGAACCCGGTTGGGCTTTTAGGGAAAATCCAGGATAACATCATCATCATCATCTTCATCATCATCATCATGCCCACTCCTGATGCAGGGGATGCTGGGCTCAGCCAGCCTGGTGGAGAGGAGGATGGACAGAGTGGATGGAGCCACCAGCTCCTCAACCACCTTCCCCTCCTGCCCTGAACCCCCAGAAAAACGGGGCACAGGCAGAGCCTCTCCATCCTGCTGCCCCCATCCCTGCTCCCACCTGCTGTCCTGAGGCTGAAGACCCTCCTCCTCCTCCTCCTGTTCCAGAACCAGCAGCTTAGCCCAGCCCAGCTGTCAGCCTTGGGATCACTGCAGCCACGCTCCAGGGGGGAATCTTGATCCTGGCTTATCCCCTGGGCCACAGCAGGGGCTCCCGGGGCTATATCCCCACTTATGGGGGGAAAGCACACAGGGAAAGCCCTGGAGAGGAGGGAGGGGAAGTTTGAGGTCAGCCCAGGAGGGCTCCAAGCTCTCTGGATGTTAATGGGTGGCACTGGGGGCTCGGAGGATCAATGGATGAACGCAGCTCCAGGGCGTGTGGGACTCCAGCCCCAGCTCTCACAGCTCCTGCCAGGCTCCCGTGGTGCCCCAGCTTGGAACAAGGCAGGAGAGCTGTCCCCAAAGCAGTGGCTTGAGCTGCCATAGTGATAAAGCCACGCCAAATGCCCGGGGAGGGGTGGAGGGGGTGTCACTGTCCCTGCCAGAGAGCTCCACCCCAGTTCCCAGCCCAGCTCGGGGCTCCTGTGGAGGGGTTTTGGTGCCCACCAGTCCCCAGGACCACCAGTGCTCCTCATCCCCAGCTCCAGTGCCATTCCAGGGTGACAAGGTGACAATTTTAGCCCTGAGCAGGGTGATGATGGCAGGACACACCCAG